TGAAAAACATGCTGGCTGAACACCCGCTCAATGTAGAGCGAATCACACGAGTCGGAAAACAGCTAGCTTGTTTCCTGCTGCATTAGTGGCGCTCCCGTTCATTTCTCCGCATGCAACATCCGTACTTGTACACAAGGGCAACAGGCGTCGCCTCAGGCAACCACATTTGAGTTGGATCCGGCGAGCAATCGGATCCGATTGCCAAGATACGGCGAGCTTGACAAGAATGTCAATGATGAAAACAGCTGCAAAGATGTCATCTCCGAGGCGAAAGAAGGTAGTCCTCAGATGTGCTCGACCAGCTCCCGGTATTCTTTGCCACACGCCGGTTTAGGTGAAAGCAACATCAAGACTGATCCATTCCTAGGTCCTCCGGTAGAGAGGTTAGAATAAGGGTACCCTTTTGTCTGTAGTCGATTTTAGACTACAGGGAAACCCTCCCGAAAAGAAGGGCTAGGACTGAGCCATTCTTTTCGAGCCAACTGCGGCTGAGCTGAATGGCCTTCTGGGGCTCACTGGCGCCCAAGAAAAGTGGACACAGCGCAACTCCGCCCTGTGCCAAGGAATCAATGGGTCATTGGTCGTCAAGCACAAGTCATCAGCTCCGAAGCAAAAAATATATGAAGGCCGCTTGAAAACAGGTGCCTGCAGAATGAATATGTGTTAATGTGCGGAGCATCCAACAAGCAGATTCATTGGTTTTCCCCGAATTGTCAACTCCAGTGAGTCTGGAACCGACTGTTCGTGGATATCCATAAACCTCATTCAGAAGCTACAAACCAAGGAATCCATCCAGGGGGAACATAATCCGTTTAAAACAAACATACCTGGATCTTCCAAATCATGGAAATTTCACGTAAAATCCGGAAAAAACACAGAGTTTTCAAACTCCTGGTTTTTGAGGTAAAACTCCTAGAAATTGATTGTCGCTTCTGGAAATGGTTTGCACACCTGAAACCCCTAGAAATCGCAATTATTCGGTACTTGACAGAAGGAACTCTCCAATTCAGACATATTCTGAATCAGAATCATTCACCTGAATCAGAATCATTCACCTGAATCAGAATTATTTATTCAGAATTCAGAATTATTCTGAATTCGGAATTATTGCCTTTGGGCGACAAATTGGCAAAACCGGAAAGCACCACACCTGAAACTCAGCGCAAAACACCCGCAAAAAGCCCGCAAACTCCCGCAACAACCCGCAAACTCCCGCAAATCAAAAAAAAACAGAGTTTCCGGAGTGTGCGTAGTAAAATCAGTGGAATACCCACTCCAGTGCAGAGTTGCATAATTGCTGGGATAGTGTACAGAGTTGCACAATTGCGCGCCCAAACAACGAAAAACAACAACAAAACTTGAATCCAATTGTTTCCCCCAAGAACCACTCCTAGTTGTTGATGTTCACTGCTGCCTTTTGCAAGCCACTCCTGCTTTTTGATTCCTGCATTTGAAACACCTGAAACTCCTAGTTTTCAGGGGGTCTCCTGGAAATATCCCGGAGAACGGAAAAACAGAGAAATAACCCGGAGACGGAGGACCCAGGTATTATTCACCTAGGTTTGATTGTTCAACACCATTGGCGACCCGAGCAAAAAAAAGAGAAAACATGCCCCTTCTCAAGTCTCCAAACAACACGACAGGCCGCAGGTTTCAAAATCGACGCTTCCAGAAGAAAAAAGCGGGGCAAGCCATGGTGGGCCCCGAGTTTTCTTTTTGCCACACCTATTTGACCCCCCCAAAAAAAAACATGGGGTGTCCCATCCCCAAGCCATCCCAACCCATCTCCAACCCAACCCATCCCCAAGCCAACCCATCTCCCGATAGAACCAGTTTTTGCTCAGGCTCCAGGCATCCGTGGACACGAATGGCCCGTCCGGGTAGAGCCCCAAGTCCTTGCCTAGAGAACTGCTGATGGGATAGCCCTCGGGCTGTGGGGAAACCTAAGTGGGCTGTCCGTCTTCAGCTCCCCTGCGAAAAAACAAACTCGTGGGTTAAATACGGGGACAGCCACGAAACCCTAAAAGCCCACCCTATGCTTTCCTTTAAGGGACTCCCCTTCCAGCTGATTCCCACCCTGAATGGTCATTCCCTAGTTATCGCCCTTGGACCGAATCGGATCAAGCCCCTTCTCCCACAGCCACCCGCCAGGCTCGTGGTTTTGGCTCATTCCCAGCCTCGAAAAGTAAAGCATGAAACCCAAGATGGTCATGGGGCATAACCTATAGCTCCATTTTGGGGTGGATGAACATCCATTTGCCACCGATCTTTGCGGAACTGAGGAAACTTCTGTTTGCTCCTCCCAAAAAAAACACCTGAGGGTTGAGTAGGTTGCGAGGCCTTTTGTGGCCGAATGTTTCAGGGCTGCGCCATTGAGGAAATCTGTGTCCCTTTGGAACTCAAGCAAGCGGCGTCCATGTGAGTCTCTTTTTGTTGCCGGTGCTCTTGTTCGTAGGTTGAAAGGGCAGCCAAAAGGAAAACCAACCAAGTTCTTCCATTTGCTTTTGCGCCCCCTAGAAACAATAAAATATGTCCAGTAGCGAAATCGATTCTCTTCATACCAAAACGGGAATAAGGGAAACATCACATCCTCAAGCAAACGCCATGTTTGTTGGTTTTTTTTTTGGGGGGGGGGGAGTACTACGGTACCCCCCGAAGAAAAACAAAAAAAACGAGCGCCGTTTTTTTGGAGAACCTCTCAACCCCCCCCCCCCCCCCCGCCCTCCCCGAAACCCCTCGCCTGTGGACACCCCGAGGACCTGAAGCTCCAGCGCCATGAGGAAGACGTTGGCCGCCAGCACCAGGGCGATGAGGAACTCGTACTTCGTGGACTGCCTGACAACCGGGGGAAAAAATAAACAAAAAACACTGTCCCAGCACCCTACGGAAAAAAGGGGGGAACAACATGTATACATATATATATATATATTTAATGGAACAAAAAACATGTCCCAGAACCTGAGAAAAACCGAGAAGATCAAGGGAACCACCATGTGGAAGCCACTAAAACCAGCTAAAAACATTTTAAAAAAGGGGGCGGGGGAAAAAAAACAAACGGGTCCCAACACCCGACTTAAAGGGGCGATCGGGTACTAATTTAAATGGTTAGAACTTCCTCGGCCATTAAATAAATGTCCTTGGGACAACGGACATTTTTTGCTCGAGAAGGGACATTTGTTGCATCCACTATGGGGGCTCAATTTCTTCGAGTGCTCTGATCAGGGCAAATTGACACGATAGACAAACCATAGACAAACCATAGCCATACCGTAGACATATCATAGACATAACTACTATACAGGCAAACCATTCGGGAAAACCATAGGCAAGCAAAAAACGGCTACGAAAAGTAAGGTGCAAGTCAGGGGTACCACATTCCGCAGAAGGGGAAACACATTGCTAAAATCAGGATGTTCACATCAGGTCGAGTCGTAAAACCGAGATTTGTTGAGCTCGTTGCTCGTTGCTTGCGACCGAGAGGGACCGTGGACAAACCGTAGACAACCCGTAGAAAGTACATTTTCTGCCGTTTAAAGTACATTTTCTGCCGTAGAACGGCCATTTATTGCCGTAGAAAAGACATTTTCTGCACACCACGTTTTTGCACCAATTTGGTGTCAATTCGCGGCACATGACTTCTCAGGACTTTGTTGCTTTTTTCTGGCTTGGCAATTGGGCAATCAAAGACTTGTGCGCCAAATATGCAGGCATGGATCGATGGATGTATGCTGGACCAGTACATGCATATATCAAATAAGCAGCTCCCGAGCCGTGCCCCGTGGCTGACGTTGGCTTCTAGAAGGCAGTGCAAAGCGCACGAAGCACTCTCAAGCTCGGCAAGATGGGACCGCGCAGCCCCTTCCAGCCACTTTTAAGTGGGATTTTCGTGAAAATCATGATCCAACCAAATTTAAGCAGAAAATTGCCTTTTCCCAGAAAATGTACTTTCCCACCTCGGCCATTTATTTAATGTCCTTTGGAAGTCTAGGGGGTTAGTAATCATGATTATAACCCACTTACCATGGTTATAAGTCTCCTAAGTGAGTTATAACCAGCCACTGACTAAGTACCCTGCCCCTTTAAGTAGGGTGGTCCATTTGTACCTGATGTGCCCTTGTGTGGTTGCCATTTTGGGTACCAATTGAGAACCCTTGGAGGGTGCTGGTCGCTGCCCCAATTTGACTTGGACAGCAAAGGGCATTCTGACTTCCGAAAGTCGATATGTATCTAGCAAATATCTGCCCTGTTTCGTGGACAGAAGTGGCATTCTGACTCTGCGAAGTTGATATGCAACACATATCTGAGGCCCCAGCAATTGCAAATTAAACCCCAAAGCCATGATTACGGTTTTCCATAACGAGGGGCCCTGGCTCCCATTGCGAAGTTTTTTTGGACATCCATGGCAAAACCCCCAAGCACAGTTGCATTGAGCTCGTAACATCACGCTGCCCGCTTTGAGCTCGTTGGGGTTTGGTATACACCTTCATTGAGGACTCGTTACAGTGGACCAATATGTTCTCAGATATTTGCAATGCGAACCATAACCCCTCTTTATGAAAAACCGTACTCATGGCTTTGGGGGCTAATTTGCAATTGCTGGGGCTTTGGTTGCTGGCGAGACCCCTCTGCAACAAGTTGCTCACTTGGTCCAATAGAACATCCACTGTTTCCCAAAAAGTTTAAGTCCAAAGATCCAACCACGTACCGTCACATCCCCATAAAGTGATTTACAAGTTAGTTATCTCCACCCACCATTTTCCATTGGTCCCGACCACTCTTGTCTTTTGTTTGCCCCGAAAAGGAAAAATACCACCCAGGAGCTCAAGGAAACTTGGTTGAAACCAATCGCCAGAGGCAATCTCCAAGAGGTCACCTGTCTTCAAAAGTTCCGTACTGATCCAAGTGTCACTTCAAGGACCCCAATGGCCGTGTCCTCTTTGTAGGGTCCCCTAAAACCCCCCAAACAAAAAAACAAAAACGAAGGGGGGATCGATGATCGAGGTGTGGGTTTCCTTTTGGCGTTTGTCCCAATTGTTTACACTCCAAAAAAAGGGGGCGCCCTCATTGAGACAATTTCACGCACCATCCCCCAAAAAGGTCTTCGCGAAAACAGCAAACCTCCGGCGCTTCGGACGAGTCCGGGCTCCGCGCAGGAAGACCTGGCAGCGCTCGACGATGCTCTTCTCCTCCATCTCGGACCAAGCGAAGTCTTGGAAAGCCCTCGGTGCCGACAGTGTTTTCGCCTTCTCCCCACCCCCCCCCCCCCCGTATTCCCAGGCATTTGGACATGAATTGGACGGGACCAGTTGCTTGGGCGGGAACCGGTTTGGCGGTGACAGGTCGACTTTCCGCTAAAACCCAGTTGCAACCAGTGACCTTTCACCCCTTCAAGAGGAGCTGCGCAAAAAACAGCCTTTATCAGAGAACTGTGGACTTTCTTGGTGTCACAGAAAGTGGGTTCCCCCCAACCCGTTCTTCCACAACCTGCAACTTGTCGAAGGGAAGCGAGGGTCAAGCCGGAAATTTTGGGTTGAAGCTACCCTTTTCAGCTTGGTTTATAGGAAAGCTGGCTGCCTATCTCGTACTTCGTGGATTGGAGAGATAACAGAGAGTGGGTAATGGTGAGTTAAAGGGATGTAGTGAGTGACTGGGACGAGCGAGGAACGAGGCAACGAGAGAGCGAGGGAGAAGGAAGGAAGCGCTCCATTCGTTCACCCTCTGTTCCCTCTGTCTCTGCCTAGCTCCTGTCCATCCTTTCCCTACCACTTCCCATCGGTTGAACTCTGTGAACGAATGGGAAGGGGAAAGGGGACAGGGAGGGAGAAGAGCGTGTACACGGTGAGAGAAGGCGAGTCCTAAAGGTAACAAATATTCTATGGATTCTTCCATCTCCCGCTCGCTCCGGTCGCTGTTAGGATGCGATTGGAACTTGGAATCCAGAGTGTCCATCCCTTTCTCTCACTCTACTCGTTCCTTCCCTTTCCCTCACCGTCTATTCTCTGAGGCATCTCGCATCTCTTTGACTCTATCACTTCACTCATTTCTTCTTTCCTCATCCCTTTGTCTAACCTCTGTCTCTTTATCCCTTCCCCTTCTTACCTTCATTCTATTTCTGGAGAACTTGTCTAAGAACGAAGGAAGGGATAAAGAATGGAGGTGGAAGGAGAAGATAGAAGGGAAACGAATGAACCAAGTGAATGGGAACGGTGAGCGGGTCATCATCTCACATCCGCTCGCTTCCTTCGCTCTCCCTCTAATCATTTCTTCTTTACCTGTCACTTCCTCATTGACCTGCTTCCCAAGCCTTTCTGTGGTGAATGAAGGGTGAGAGATAGAGGTAGGGAGAAGAGATGCCAACAAACAGGACATGCCTCTCTCCACTCCGTTCGTACCCTCACTCGCTCCTCTCGCTCATAAGCATGTCCTAACTGTAACCGAATGGGAGGTACAAGTGAAGACATGTCTATCACCAACAGCGAGGAAGGGAGCTGGGGAGAGGGTGTGACGTGATGCGGGACCATGGGTCCCGCCTTACAAAACACAACCAGAACACGTATATACACGAGAAGGAAGCAAGCTGTGAACATGACCAGCCGGTTCGTTTTGCAAGAATTGTCCGGTCGATTCCCGTTTCGGAACACGTTGAGGCCTTGGAGCCTGAGAGGAGAGTTCTGGAAAACACCTCTCGGGCGGATTTCTTCTTGGGGTGGGGTGGTGGGGCGGGGCGGGGGGTGGGGTGGGGGTGGGGTGGGGTGGGGTGGGGTGGGGTGGGCGTGAGGTGGGGTGGGCGTGAGGTGAAGTAATTCGAGGGGTTGGCGGGAAGCAAGATATGAGGAAGAAAGATCAGTCTGCGGAGTGTGGACATGACTTATGGCTGGCCATTCTCTACATCACCCAGCCATTGTTGGCGAGACTCCCTTGAATGTATTATTCACCTCAGGGCAAGCATGGCTCTTGAAACCGAGCCGGCCGTTGCTCAAATGTCCCAACTTGCCAAGAACTAAGCTCCAGTACCACCGGAAGTCAGATGCCTCAGCCAGCTTCCAACGCCAAGCCAATAACATCATCCAACATGTTGAAGGCGAACAACCAAACAATACATCAAACCCTCCTAAAACAATGGCATGGCCAAAAACAGTCCCAAGGCAGAAGGAATTGCGTCTGGCACTCTCTAGCCGGGGCCTGCTCCGCACGGCATTGGAAATTGGGAAATGGGCCGCAAAAATCGTCCAACCAATTCCAATAAATGAAAGAAGATCTCAGGATCAGATCCCAATTCGCAGGCGCTGCACTGATTTGGCGCATGGCAACATGGCAACATGGCAACATGGCTCTTCTTTGGGTGGCCTGCCTGCAGTTTTTCCAGCTGTTTGCTGGTTTGCACATCCACCTATTGACACACCATTAAAACAGTGCCTCCTTTCCGCGACATATGTTGGACACTTCGGCCCCTAGTTTGGGCATACTCACCTTGCAGCCAGAAATCGACCCCCCAGTCATTGTCCGAGATAGTCGGTGGAGCTCCTCAGGTGTCTTGCTTGAAGTCCAACATGGGGAAGCCACTTGCTTGTATAGTGACAAAAGATACACCGCAAAAGGCTTTCCGATCTTGGACTATCAATTGGGGGTCGACTGAGGGTGAGTTTATGGGTCTGAGGATGGGCTTGAAGGTGGGTTTGGGCGTTGAGATTGTGTTTGGGGGCATGTGCTTGGTTCAGGACTAGCTTTGAAGTTTGCGGTGGGCTCATGATCGGCCTAAGGATCGCCTGAACATCGTGTCTCGGGCATAATTTCGGTTCGGGGTGATGTTTTTTTTGTTTCATGGCGCTGGGACTGCTTCACCGTTTAGGGTTTAGGGTTTCGTCATGCGCCTGTCCTGCTCCTCCTCTTGCCGCTCCTTCAGCTTGCTCTCGTCGAAGGCTCCGAGGATCTCACCTCGAAGGGTTCGGTTGGTCTGTCGGCCAGGGCAAACCTAAAATGTTGGACTCGAACACCAGACACGTTGACCCCATATTGATCAACCCCATATTGTGTTTTGGGTTTAGTGGGGAATCAGACCACTGTAGGGGGACACCCCCTAGATATACTGGGGTTGATGAATATGGGGTCAAACTTACTCAAGAGAATCTTCATGAACTAAGCTTCATGGGGGCTGGGGGGGAGGGAGGAGAGGGGGCAGGGAGCCCAAATAAGCCCTTATTGAGGCCTTATTTAGGGCCTATTTGGGCTCCCTCCCCCCTCTCCTCCCCCATGAATGCTACCAGGAATATTTTGAGGTCGCCATCATTTACCATATATTGAGCCCAGCGGGTTTAAGGCAAGACAACTCTGGAACCTCGGACAGCTTTTCGATGAGAAACATGACACCTTAGTTGCGACGGATCCATCTTAAAGGTTATTTAAGCAGTACCCACTCAACTGGTCATCTAACCAGGGACTGCGAATGGCAAAGGTTGCATGTTTGAGACCCAAGCCTTTCCCCTAACATCCCCTCAATAAGAGCCATTCATCTGTCCAAAAGCGCGGTCGCCCTCTAGGAGGTCGGAAACAGTTCAGAACAACTTGTTTATAGGCATTGTCTTCGCTGCCATATGCTCAGTATCCTGGCCACATCTGATGGCAACCTTTCCGACCCATGCCACATGGCTTAGCAGCTTTTTGTCTCGAGCTTGGTACAGGGCCTTGTCCCATGGTTGCATTTGTATAGGCCAAGCAGAAAGCTGCATGTTGTAGCTAGCTTTTTGTCTGCATCGTCCACTTTCGCAGGCAGGACGCATGCCTTCCGGCCGTCTAGCCATGTGGCCAAATTAGAGGCCCCCATAATTTGCTCCTCTTAGCTTCTATCAAACAGCAAATAGGTCCCCTGCATGGGGAACCCCATGGCACATGTCCATACATCTGATACCCGCCGATTCCACGCAACAGGACGGAGGCTGCCAAGTTGCTAGCATTGACCTCGTGCATGAGCTTATGATGGGCGCCTTGGTTTCGGGTGCCGAGAGAGCCCATGCTTGAAACTGACGATCCGATGCGTGAGTTGCAGCTGTCAACTCTTCTCTCTGTTCACCGCCTTTGTGTCAAGTTCTGTCTCAAACAGAAGGAGAGGTTCACATCATGCGCTCCATTCTGGCTTGATCTAGGCCTTCCTGGGGCCAAAGTCGATGTTAACGCGCATCTCATAATTTCAAGTGAGTCACTTGCTCAAAACCCGGTATTAAAATAGTATCGAGGCGGCCGCGGCTATTTATGGTTGGGATTGCCCCTTACTATCCTTCATCTACCCGAATCGGTTTTGATTGTGGCTGAAGTGGGAAGTGCATCTAGCCTGAAAGAACTGCAGCGCAGTTCTAACACGTGTCCTGCGCTGCACTCCCACATCACCGTGCTGCATCCACGAAAGTCAGCAATCATCCAATACTCCGGGGCGAGAAAAACCCTGCAACGAAACACAACAACTAGCACAAGATCAAGACCGCACCATCATAGCAAATCCACATGCACATGCAAACACCCAAACATGTCCGCAAACACGCTTGCCTTTCGCGAGTTGACCTGCTCTCATGTCTCAAGTGATTGTGAGGGAACCAGTCTCCCGTGGACTTGGTTTTTGCTCCCGCGGGCCGCAGAAAGAAAAAGGGAGCATGTTTGGCATGAAGCTGAGAACGGCATCCACCGACACGTGCCGTTGCCACGCGTCGCATGGGAACCTTCGAAGTGCCTCTTGGCAGGAAATCGGATCCTCAAAGTTGTCGTGGCGAAAGGTGGGGCAGGAATCGGACCCCTTTTTGGATGGTTTTAAGGGAAACCAAAAGGACACCACCTACTTGGCCCCCAATTCTGAGAAGCAGAGCATACCCCAAATTGCGTGCAGGAAAGTGCTGCACACCTTGCCGACCGCGGAATGCACTCCCGGAAACATCCGCGCAAAAACATCGCTCGGGGCCGCTGGCATGACGAGTGGCACATGACATTCTGCGTTATAGTCCCGCTGCGATTCAGCCTCAAGCTGAAGGCAAAACAAAAACACCAGCCAACCTGAAATAACCAAGCATTTGAAATTGAACTATTTCCTATACTATCGTTTGCCCTTATTTCACGCGAGCTGGGCCCTTGTCAGTTTGGTTGGTTGATACTTGCGTGTGCAGGAAGGGTGGACTGTTCTTACAAAGAGCCCACCAAAACAAAAAGCCTTTGAGGTGCCTTTTGAAATGCTTTCGTGCCCCAAGAAGTGATATGCGGGTTCGAGGTATGCGGGTGTTTCAGGTCGAATCTCGGGAGAGGAGAATTTGGGTTGGATCAAAACGCAAGGCTCGCGAGTTGCATGCAAGCAGTCTGGTCGGGTCCGTGGCTATGGGTCTTTGGGTTCGACTCGGGTGACCGGATCGTTGGCTTGCATTGCCATGGGACCCGGATCCCTAAGTCCGAGACTGCAAGGGAAATCGCGATGCGGAAGGATTAAGGATTGGCATTTGAGCAACCCAGAAAACGTGGAGAAAAAAGCGCATGTTTTTCTTTCCCCCGAGCAGAGTGCCTGGCACAGGAGAGTTCGACCTTGGATCCAGATCCGAATCCCGGGGGACCAGAGGAAAAGGCGGATGTGCCCTGTTGGCGGAATGAACAGGGCATAAAGATGAAACCGGGGATGCCTGCACATGCGGACGGATTGAATCCGCTGTGCACGGCGAAGCAGTGCAGCAGCGAAAGTTCGTGGTCCGCGGTGTGTTACCGCTATCTTCGCGCGAAAGGCCGGGCGAGGTCCCCGGCCTTGGAAGCTGTTCGGCTGCTATTGAACAGCCGCAGCATGTGATCCACCTTGTCTAAAGTGCAAGGGGATAGTCCTAAAACTACTCCATGCAAAGGCATCCCAAAGCCTAGTGAGAGGCGATTGAGGCCATGAACAAATTCGAAGTTGATGCCAAGCTCACGGGCGAGGGCCTTCACCAAAGAGGACACAAAGCGAACACGAACAGCAACCGTGAGAATGGAACCATCGTGGCCTCTACCCTGAGATGCATCAACCCACGGATCACTGCCAACTGCAGGAAGTGGGTGCGACAAGTCGCTCAAAAAGAGGGCGGCAGCAAGTTCAACCCAGGCAACACAATGCTGTACGTGTGCCCCTGTTTGCTGCTCTCTAAGCCAGTTGAGGAACTGGTGAGGAAAAGTTTGCCCAAAACGGGTGGCACAAGCGCTGGCGTTCCAGACATGGCTTAAACTGTCTGGCAGTGAGACCGGGCGCGCGTTCAGAAGTGGAATCCGAGGGGCTTCGCAATCTTCGTCTGGGTCCAGGTGCTCTTCCCCATGAGCACCTTCAGAGAGTAGCCGCTTTCTTGTGGCTGCCAGATCAAGATGAAAGGCCCGCAAGTAGTCCACTTCCTGGCGCTGTCGCCGGGTGGCTTGCTCGTAGCGGTCCCAAAGGGTTCGGAATGAGCTGGTTCGCATAGTGTGGGCGTGGCCCGCTGCAGCATCGGCTCGTCGGTTCCAGAAAATGATCCAGTCGGTCAAAGGGTCAGGGCTGTCACTTTCGGCCTGGTGGCTGCTGACGTGTACCACTGAGAGTTGCCCTGGATACATCATTTCCAGGAATTGGCTGGTCTGCTCCCAAAGGTCCTCGTGCGAGTGGACGTTGGAGTTGGTCGGGTCATGAGCGATCTGGTTGAGGGTCTGGGCAACGTAGGAGTTGTCGATCCATAGGGTTCCTTTGACCCCTGTCCGCGCAAGCCAGGATACCGCCGCCAAGGCTGCGGTCAGTTCGGCTCGATCAATGGACTGGTGTGGTCCACACAGTGGTCCTTTGGCGAGGACGGACTGGTGCGAGGCCGAGACCGCGGCCCATGCGGCCAAAGAGCGGTCGGGGTCGTTGGGGTTCCAGCAGGAACCGTCCGTGAAGATGTCCACTACTTGATGGTCACCAGGTTGAAGATGATGGTCGAGAGTCCTGTCCTGGAGCTCGGCGAGGGCGTGCTTGATCTCCCGGAAGTGGGCATTCCTGCTGGGGAGCAGGTGGATCCGTAAACTGCATGGCCAGTTATCCCAGCGTTCCATGACCCACTGGTGCCTTTCCCGCAAAGGGGTGAGTGGAAGGCATTCACGACATCGGTGCTCCATGGAATCTGGCTGTTGGCAAAGGTCGCAGTTGTAGCCGTGCGCAAGGTCGAACTTCCCCTGGATGTTCCGCGTCATGAAGGATCCGTCCCGTAGTGCATTGATGGTGGCCACTTCAAGTGCGCCCATAGCTTTTTCAGTTCGGCTGGGAGGCCATTGCAGGCCTACGAGGCCCGCAAATTCGGTCCGTGGCTGGATGAAGCGCGCGACCCTTTGATACCAGGCGTCCTGCAAGAGCTTGTAGAGCCAATCCTGGGGGATGCTGAGAATGTTGACGCAGAGTCCATCGTGATCACGGAGGAGTGGTGGGTTCAACACTGTCCATTGGACGAGTGTTGCCTGCTCCAGTATCTTGCCATAGGGGCCAGAGAAGCTCTGGCCGTCATAATTCCGCATGAAGCGTTGCCAGAGGTGAAGAAGGTGTGGCTCCTTGATGAGGATGCGCTTGAAGTCCATGAAGGTGGTGAGCAACTGGTAGAAGCCGGGGTCGAGACAGGGATGGTCTCCTCCAAGACTGAGTCGGATCATTGGCTGAGATCCTGCAGCTTTCCACCCAAGAGCGCGAACCGCTTGAGTCCGCAGCTTGCCAATGTGGTCTTCCGCCATGGGTGTGATTGCGATGGCGTGCAGGGCAGCTGGCCAAAGGGCTTGTCGGATAATCTTCTGCTTGGTGTGCAGGTCCATGGGGAGACGCCGGAGCCGTGCCCAGCAAGGTTCAATGGCCTTGAAGCGCTCAAGTTGTCCTTGAACGGAACGAGCGCGGGAGAAGGTGAGTGCCCCACCAAGGTCAACTGCCGTGGTCTTAACTCGAAGGCCAAGGCGGCGAAAATGGCTTCTGTCCTGTGAGGAGGTTGCCCATGTGAATGTCTTGGGCTCGTCAAGCTGGAGTTGCCAGAGATCCATGTAGGTCTGCATGACCGCGTAGCCGTGGAGTAGTTCGTATGCGTTCGTGGCCAGGAGTTCGTAGTTGTCCACGAAGGACTTAGGGATAACTGCCGGCGCAAAACGACGCATGTAGAGGTCGAAGACCCAATCGATGACGCACATGCCCATGACGGCCAGAGAGTCCCCTTCTGGTAGGCCTGAGGTGGATGTGAGTGGCTCGCTGATTTGTCCATTGTGGACAAAGCGTCGCTGAAAGTTGTTCAGGAAGTGGTCCCATGGTCGGAGGACTCGTGCAGGTACTCCGAGATGGTGACATGTGGCCATCAGGGGTCGTCGTGGGATGGATTCAAAGGCCTTGCTAACGTCCGTGGTGAGGCCGGCGAGGCCTTGGCCACCTTGGAGTGCAAGTTCCACTGAGGCCTGTATGTAGAGCCAGATCTGGCCGGCTTCTCGTCCAGGAAGGAATCCTAGGGCGTTTGGCCCAACAAACTTCTCAAGGAAGTGGATGAGGACCTTGGCACGGAGGCTTGACCAGCTTCTGTAGACAGTGGAGAGCACAATGATGGGCCTGAACTTGTTGATGGTGTCGGCCGCGGTCTCCTTAGGAACTGGAATTCCAAAGCCTTGTAACAGCTGCTGTGGCCATTGAGCGGTATCCTCGACATGGTTGAGGAGTTGCACCATTCGTTCTTTGAGGACGATGGGCATCCGAAGGAGGTCTTGCTTGTCGAAACCGTCAGGACCCCTTGCCGCGTGTTCATTGTATCGAGCGTTGACTTTATCCCATGCACTGACTGTGATGGCCGGCACCTGCATCTCCAGTTGTGGAACATGAGCCTGGACAAAGCCAAGGATGCGGTCCCATTGGTCAGCAGGAACATCGCGATGACGTAGCCATCGTGGTTGCCAGAATTTCTGCAGCTCCTCCAGGATTTCCGTGGAGTCGGTGTAGAACACCCTGTGTTCCAGCACCTGGCCAGGGCAAAGCAGGAGGTCGGTGTGCACCTGGTAGGCGTTGGGTCCGGTTTTCCGGGTTTGTGCCGGTTCGTCATCGACGAACCAGAGGCCATTGGTCGCCTCTGGGAGCGCGTGGTCGACCAGGACTTCAGAGGTCTGGGCGTCGACATGAAGGATGTCCGCGTAGTGGTAGCTGACCAAGTGGTCCATGCTGTGGAACTCCTTGCCCTTGACCGCTTGGAAGGCTTTCTTCGCTTGTTCACGGTACTCGACACGAAGTGCCCGTTGCCGTTGACGAAGATGCCAGGCTTCCAGGTTCCGGTAGTTGGTGCGGAAGTCCTCAAAGATCTCCTCTATGACGTTGGCAGCTGGTATATCTTCAGGAAGGTATCCTGGTGCGCTTTGGCGTTGATGGGGTCTTTGCAGCCACCAGTAGTCGAAGGGCCCATCGAAGCCTTTGGCGACTTTGATAGCTTGCCATAGGTAGAGCCGGTACTCTATTGCAGCAGCGTGTTGACCCGCAGCGTGGATGTTGTGCTTGAGGGATTGGATTCTCCGCAGTTGTTTGAACCAGCGTTGGAGCTGACGGTTGATGAAGCTGGATGCCGGAGCCTCCTCACCTTCTCTAGAGGCACGAAGTGCTGGCATCTGAGGAGGTCGGAGACGTGGTTTTAATGCTTGTGCTCGGCCGCGATGGTGTGGGGGAAGGCGCTGTTGTCCTCGCAGGTACACGGTGACGCTGTCCTCGTATTCTGCACCAAGGTTCTTGTAGTACTCAGTCTCGTGGCCGGGTCGGATGTCACCCGGGGGTTCCTCGGACTCGTAGTGTGCCCAATCCTGGATGCAGATGTCATCCCATGGGAGGGCCCCTGGTAGTGGCCAACTGAGAACCATTTGGTTGACCTCCGGGATGCGGAAGCTGGCCGTCAGAGCTTCATGGTCCGCGAATCCGCTCTGTACCATAGTTTGTTGGAACAGTAGGGCAAGTTCCGGGGAGACGTAGATGCGGTCCGGCCGTGAGACTCCCTTGCAGGTCATCCTGGGAGGTTCCCC